TGGGAATAATTTGGGATTTGGATGAGGACACATTGAAATTAGATGTACAAGAACTTTTACAACCAGTTGACTGGAAACACGTTACGAAGCGAAAGGTATTACAGATTGTGGCAAAAATTTATGACCCAGGTGGCTTCATTGCACCTTTTGTTATCAGAATAAAATTCTTAATTACAAGAGTTATGGGAATTGGGTATTGATTGGGACACAATTTTGCCCAGTTATTTGAGTGAAAAATTTAAAACTTGGTACTTTGAAATGAAGTTATTCTCAACTTTTGTATTCCTAGAAAATACATATTAAATGATGAAATGTTGTAAATTTCGATAAAATAGAGCTTTTTGTCTTTTGTGACGCCAAAGAAGAGAGTAATTAGACCTCAAGGGATATGGAGCTGTTGCATATTTTCGTGATCCTGATTCTTGCTGTACGTCTTTTGTTCTTTCAAAGAGCCGTGTATCCCCACTTAAAAAATTAACCTTGCCTCGTTTAGAACTTATGGGAGCTATTATTGCCGCAAGAATAGTTAAATATTTAAGGAAATTATTTAATATCCAAGATAATATATTTTGTTTTAGTGACTCTAAAATTGTTCTTCACTGGATCAGGGGTACCGCTGATAAATGGAAACCCTTTGTTGCTAATCGTGTACGTGAAATACAAGATGTTGTATCACCTTCGCAATGGAAATAATGTAAGGGAAATGACAATCCGGCTGACATAGTTTCACGTGGATTAATTAAATTCTGTTAAAATTCTGTTATTACAAAACTTGGAATTTTCCTCGAACAAATTTCATGCAAACACAGTTCAGTTCATATCTCATCTAATTCTATGAATCTGGAAGGAAAAATAGTTTGGAGAAGAAATGTTAACATGCACACAGCTCAGCTTGCCATTGACAGTTTTATAAAACCTTTTAATAGTTTGCTTTCTCTAAATTCAAATTACCAACCTTGCTTTTCAGCATTGTAATGCCTGAAAAAGCGTGTAAAAGTGTGTAGAGTTTCAAAAACTACCTGCTAGCCAAAATCCTAAACTTTTAATAGCTTAGAAAGGCTGGATCTCAACAGATCGAACTACCAGTGTTAAGCGACTTAATAGCTCAGCCGCTGATAGGCCTACGGAATTTGGTAATATCTAATCTGCAACTATGCTAAAATTTTACCCACTACAGGTGCCTGGATTAAAATCAGTATCATGTTAAACACTCACAATAAGTGCCCTTCAGGAAAGATGCATAATTAAGCTGAAACAGGTTCTTGCTGAGTAAACCTAGGGTGTCCTTACTGGAGACAAAACGTAACAAAGCAGCTGTTGCATTAAGACACAAACTAAACAGAATATTTAAGAAATAAATTAACTTTTCAGTTATCCTTGTTTCTTTAGAAATCTTCCATTTTCCCCCGAATAATCTCTGCTGGGCTGTGGAAATTCCAGCGTAGCATGCCGCTTCTTCGTTAATCGATGTGCTTTTGGAAATCTCTGATTCGTCTGGAACTTAGACAGTTGGCCTGGCTCGTCTTCAAGCGTTCGTTTAGAGCATAGATTCTAACATGGTTGATCTAATCTTTCCGCATCGTTGTAAGCCTCTTTCATAGCTGGGATTCTCATGCGTTCACTTCCCAGCAGTCGTATACGCGTATACAGCGTAACTGTGGCTTTCCCAAAATAAACGCGAAACTTCTATACCATCTGAACTACTAAAGGTCTCCCTCTCGATAGCGGTGTAATTTTTATGAATTCGACTAAATACTTCACTAAAATATGCAACCGGATGTCCGTCTTACATAAGTACGGTTCCTACCGTAAAGTCCGATGCATCTGCGGGAATTACCAATTTGTCGTCCTCTTCAGAAAATTTCAGTACGGAAGCTTGGATTAATGCTGCTCAAACTCTTTCAAATGCTCTGTTTGCTTCCGACAACCAAGTAAACCTAGCGGTTTTTTTTTCTTGAAGTTTAATAGTGGCTCTGCTACGTGAGCAAAATCTTTGCTGAAAGTCCTACAATAGTAGCAGAAGTCAAAAATGAGGCTAAGTTCTTTATTGGGTTGCGGGTAATTTTTAACACTAGAATTTTTAGAATCTTCCGGTCCAATTCCCCTTTCAGATAATTTGTAGTCAAGGTATCGAAGTTCTTTAACCGCGAATTTACATTTTGCCGTATTCAACTTTAAACCTGCTTATTTAAGAAGCGAAAATCTTCTTGTAAATCCCGAAGGTGTTCATCAATTGTATTGCTAGTCGCCATTTTGTCGTCTAAGTAAATAAAAGTACATTTTCGGAGGACAGTTCTTAGTATCATACCCATGGCTCTTTGAAATGTGATGGGTGATTGCATACACGAAACAGCATTCTAAGGAAACATGAACTACTGATTTAGTAAGAAATGCGAATTTTGGGACATCCTCCGGTTTCACACGTATCTGAAAGCATCCAGAGGTGAGATCTAGCGTCGTCATGTATTTTTTGGGAACTTGATTTTCTACTTAGTTCCTTAATTGATGGTAATGGGTAAACTGGATATTTGGTTAGTTTGTTTAATTTTCTGTAGTGAATAACAAAACGCCATGCTTTAAAATCATGGTGAAGATTATTTTTCTTTCTGCCCAGTACTACAGGACTAGTGTAAGCGGTATTTATGGACATTATGATTTTATTTTTCAGCATTTCTGCAATATACTGTTCTATAATTTCATCTTTGGCCTTATCATAGCGGTAAGATTTTGTTCGGTTTGGGGGGGGGGATTTCTAATTTCCATTGCGTGATTTGCTATCTAAGCCAGTCCTAGAGCATCATCAAATATATGTGAAAAATTTCTTACCAACTTCTCCAAATTAGCTATCTCTCCCGTTTCAAATCAATCCTTCAAGTCTAAAGCCGGCAGTCGGCTATTTTCCCACCAGCTTATTCATCTCCAGTTGCACAGCAGCTTCCTGAAAATTAATTTTCGCGCCAGCTGCCTTAAAAAAAAGACCTTCCCTAGAATTACATCAGCTTGTAAACTTCTCACACACACATACACGAAAAAAAAACTCCCTTTTGGTGCTTATTTTTCAACCTGTGCATGCAATGTTAATTTTCCTACTCATTCACACTAATTACCTTGAGCCGTTATCATTTTTGTTTCCGCCACACCAAATACTCTATACCGTCTAAAATTTTTCTTCTCCAAAAAACTATTTTGCGGCCCTGTAGCCAGAAATGCACATTCTGCTATACTATTTAATGCAGTTTGAATCGCTGTGTGACAAGGTTTTAATCAACACATTATTTAATTGAATATGAGAGAGATTTTCTTATTTTGGGGGTGCCTCTACCCTCGGTATTTCAGCATTGCTGCGTAGTTTAAAGGCTTCCTGTTTTTCCGCAATTTCCTTTCTTGAGATTTATTTTGGCGATCACCATTAGCGAGTGAAATTTTTTCCGGTTATCAAATCGTCTACTCTTGTCAAAATTTAGATTTCCTTGCGCTACAAATGTACGGAAAATATTCGCTCGATGCTCTGCTCATATCCCGCTGTACGTGTATTCATTGACTCTCGCATGCTTCAAACTTCACAGCTAATTTGATTAATTGTTCTAGCGTACCCTGGTTTCGTAACACAACAAAATTCTGAATCTGTGGTAACAGCCTAGGCAATATGATTTGGATAATCTCTACATTTGTTTTTTTATATAGTAAGTTCATGACTTGTATTTTCGTTAAAATAAAACCCTCTAAATCTTCAGCCTTATTATGATATCTACCGAAACGTTCCGCTCCTAGTTCATCACAGGGAATGTTTTCACAAGGGTGGTTTTAAACGCTTCAAACTTCTAACATTCACCCAACAAAAATTTACCCATGCTTTTGTTACGCTGCCTGTCATCGAAGTGCATAGTTTGCTATGGTGATCTTCTCTAATTCTGCAACAAGGGAAAGTAAATAGTGCATCTTTAATTATTCCAAAATGATAATTACCGAACTTCTTCTATCTAGAATAATGGCTGATTTCATCGACGCTCGCATAGTTTCTAAAATGAACCCGAAGCCTTTCATCGGGTTTCCTGGCGGCGGTTGAACTTATAATCTTCGGAGGGGGCAGGCTAAATGTTGCACGGTCTTGAGACGTGGCCCGTAATTGATTCGAGGGCCATCTGTAAGGTTATACGCTTCTTTAACATTTGTTGCAACTTTTGTCCTATTATCCTAACAGACGTGTGGAAAGTTATCGCTATATCTGAAATAAAACGACAAGTCTTAGGATGGTTATAAAACAACCTTTTTATCCAACCGGAACTTTGAACATAACAGTACGACTTTGTGTTACAATAACCACAGCCTGTGGGAATACAAATTAAAATAAGAACAGTCAATATCTTTAAACGTTGAGTAATCTAAGACTACAGATTGAATTAAATAATAACCTAGCTCAATAAATTTCTGGCTCTTCAGTTTAAAGCATTGGCGGCGAGAAAGCACAAAGCCAAATAATTACATTTAATTAGAGCTGGCAGAATCTAACTACTTAGCTCGCAATGCCACCCTCTCTCTCGAGATTTAAAACGCTCAGCTTAAATACACGCAAAACTAATTTGCATTCTGGTGAGGAATTCGGAAAGGAGAAATTATACTAAAAACCAAAAAACATAACAATTGGTTAATTAACAGAAGATACTTTATACATTTAATAAAAAAATATGAGATGTAGATACAAAAATATTCCTCATTTCTTCTTGGGCTCACAAATCATTACATGAATGTGTATTTAAAACTTTTAAAGTCTAAAAGCACATGTTTGCGGTGATATTCGTCATGCTATGATTTGTACGTGATTCATATTTTACCGTGATATTTTATAGGAGAGTGTTTTAAAAGAGCTTTTAAAATTTTAATCTCTTTATTTTCTAGTGCGATGTTTTTTCCTTGCCTTTTTTTTATCTCAGGTTATTTTGTACTAGGGTGTTTGCGATGTTTCCAGCTGCGTCTGACAGTAGTTTCAAATAGTCGGAGGCATTTCACATATCGACCAGCTGACAGCTGCGGACTTCAATGGACATTTTCACAACTGCTATATTGTCTGGTGCGTATAATTTTCTTACCTACAGTATTTAATTAGTGGACCCTCTGTTCCTCAAAGTTTCTTTCCCACGTCGTCATTGCATTATCTGGATGTCTTTTGCATTTTCGATATTCGTTAGAAATGTCTGTTAAACCCAACAAAACTATTATTAATTTTGTAAAATGTTTTCACTGTCAAATTACCTGTGCGTTTATTCATGGTTGTATATTAGACGCTTTTAAAGGATGTACTAGGTGATACTACTGGCTTCCCTCTTTTTCATTGGAACTGGTTATCGAACAGACGTTGTTTGAAAAAAAAAAAAAAAAAAAAAAAAAAAAAAAAAAAGGATGCGACAAACTTTACTACTTTAAATACGGTTTCTAGTTACATATTTCGAGTCACAAAGTTTATTAATATAAGATAGAGAATTTTACGAAACAGATTTGATACTGAGGGTAGAACAAGTCTGCAGATAAAGAAATTTAACTTTTTATACAGTCTCCGCAGAGCAAAAGTCCTATTTATTAAAAAGAATAATTTCATAAATTAAGCAAAAAGTTATCACATACTGTAGCAGAAAATTTGCGGAGATATTTAAAAGTAGCAGTTGCTTGAAACCAACTATAAAGTTAAGAACGAGTTCCGCTTTGACGAAAACGGAAACATTAATCGTCAAAATAAGCAACTTCTGTTTTGTAATTTTCACCTAAATCTGAGAGAACATTATTCAGATTTGATGCTTTTAGATGTTTTGAAGAGGGATCTCAGTCCTAAATACAAGAGAATTATTATTTCCCTCTCTCTTCGCATTCTAGCCGAACAGCTCATACATGTGAAGAAAGGAAGATTTAAGTAAAGAATTTACTTTTTCTTTTTAATTTAATTTCATTTCATTTTTCATTTAATTTAATTTTCATTCTCTCATTCCTTACGCATTTAGATGTTGTAGTCAAATTAGTTGCAATATATTTCTGAGTCCAAAAAGTAATAAAATAACATATATTTTTATGTGCATTAAATTGGGATTATGCATGCTATTTCATTATAATTCTCTTTGTAAATATTATTAAGGCACAACATTTTAAAAGGGTAGGGAAAGGTAGATAGTGCTTTTGTTATGTTGTGTGTGAGATGACAGGCTCAGTTTCAGTACTTAGCAAAATAGAAAAAACTGTTACAGTATCATTAGAATTGCATTGCTTTGATACCGTTTTTAGGATTCTAACCAAAGAAGCATGTTTCAGTGATTATTTTTATCAAAATCAACAATGTTAATTGCATTTTTTAAAGTAATGATCAGTTAAATATGCACAGCTGTCAATAGTAAAAATCGAGAACACCGAGTTGTTGTATCTTAACTATTTAAAAAAGTAGCAATCTAAATCCCAGAAATGATAATTTGTTGTAAGCATCACTCTAGGAAAAATTATAAATGATATTTTCTAAAGAAACTAATTTGTATATAAGCGTAAACTTAGAAGATCTAATATAATTCTACAGATAATCTTATTCTCCATCAGTGATCTTTATTAGTGATTTTCAGTTCGATTTTTAGAAGTTTTGGGTCGGCATTCATTTTTTCTCGGATTGAAGTTTTCGAATTTATTCAGCTTGAGTTCCCAAATGTCGCTGACGAAATTTAATCAATAGTTTCTTTTTTTTTTTTTTTTTTTTTTTTTTTTTGTCATATCACTGTTCAAAATCCATTCCTTATAATCATTTTTGTTGCCATTTTGCTACAAAAGTTTTTGTTCTCGTTGAAGAAAGAACTAACGAGCTTTTCGTGTTTATCGCCTTCTCGAGGTCATCATCCTTGAAAGGTGAAGTGCTGCGTGTGGGCGGCTAGCTACAACAGAAATGGTACCCACTGAGCCAAGAAAAAAAAAAAATTTCTTGTCATTTGGGTTCTACAACTATATATTTTTTTCGACGTGCGTTTGGGGTTGCATGCTTTACTTCCTTATCGTCTAAACCTCATACTTTTTCTGGGTGCTCTATGGGCAATTCATAAACTCCTCTCTTATTTATGTACATAACACATCTCAATAACCATTGTGCTATCTTATGCACTTTCTACTGTTCTTTCGCAAAACTTTTTGCCAAAAATAAATGTTAATGCTAATGCATTTACATGCAATAATTATTCTTTCAGATCCAACAGAATTGTTTGTTTGCCAACTTTATTTATTGAATAGCCCACCAGCGGCCGAGCGGTAAAGACGCTGAACACTGGTAGTTCGGTCCGAGGTTCGAATCCCGCGAACGGGCTGGCTGCATGGGCGTTTTCGTGGTTTTCCCCATGTGTAACGTGTATACGAGCCAGTTTCCCTTAGAAAGTCCTCCACGAAAGGCATCCCTCCTCTTAGGCAGATAATAGCCCTAGTGTGCTTTGCCATAATTAAATACACCAACACACACCAATTATTTATTGAATATTTGAAGCTATTAGCTGCTTGTATTTTCCCTTTCATAAATCATTTCATTAATTCAATTTCCTTTCATTAATTCTTATTCAATATAGGCTTAAGTTTTTTTTTTTTTTTTTACTTTGAAAGTCTAGTGAAATAAATGAAAAAAAAAAGTTTATAGCTTAGAGGACTAACAATTTACCTTGAATTTCAGACCTGATATCATTTTTTTTTCATTAATGTAATGGTCTGTTTGGGATGAAAGTGTCCCTAAAGATATAAAAAATTTTCGGTATGTGCAAAACAAAACTACACTTAATCAATCTCTGAGGCAGGAAATACTAAATGAGATTTATTTTTATTAATATATTGCTGCATTCTGGTCACATAACTCTGAATTTTGCCTTCATTTTTAAAACAATAGCTTTTTAAGAAAATTCAATATATTTTGTCACAGAAATTCTTAATCAATTGTACGGTTAATTTTGTTATTTTTATTTACTGACGTCTTTCCTAACTGAATAAAATTGAATTGCTTAACTCTTTTGCACTACATTTATTTTTGCAGTTTGTTCTCAAACAAATCTGATTTTGTCTCAGGCCTCGCTGCATTTTTTCTCATTAACATCATTACACGAAAGTAAAATCTAAGGTCACGCTTTCCTAAATCGTGTAAATGTAACTGGTCTTCCATTTTATGAATAACAGGAACATTTAATTATAATTTCTACTTTTTTTTTAACTTCTTTTTAACGGTATGGATGAGATTCTGAAGGAAAACTAACGTCGTCATATCAGTGGAGACTTCATGGTCCTAAAGGTTAAACTACCTAGTTTGCGAACGCCTTTAACGCCTATATTCTGCGGAATAATAAATTTTCTTGACATCACACAAAGAAAGGAAGAGGTCAAAATAAAAGTAAGCGAGATAAGATCACTCACTTCGTGCATGAACTGAGGTCATTCAGTCTTGAAACAAGGAAATATGCAGTCCATGAAAAAGGAAAATGAAGAAAAATTGAGTTCAAGTGACAAGCAGCCCTCAGTTTCCGAGTAAAGCCGCAATTCTAAGTGCAGCTTAGTCAAGGGAAAATACCTTTTCTTTTCCTTCTTATTTTTATATACTAAAGAATAACTGCTACCCCAAGATTACTTTTACTTCCACAAAGAAAATATATTTTGCTCATAAATGCATTTGCGTAGGAAGAGTATTTCTATGCACCTGTGCGTAGAGGTAAATGATCGGTTGTATGAATAAGGAACAAAAATCTTTTTTTAATTGAAAGCAAACTTAACCCATTCCCTGTTGATGGCATGTTTTTGCAGCATTTAATGAAAAATAGATTACAAAATGTTCACTCATGTATTTGATATGAATTCTTTATAGATAGCAAAATTACAGTTCAATATATACTGAAAAAATATTTTGGGCTATATTAAGTAATAGGAAATTTTAAAATCATTACCTGACTGCTAAGAATATTGCTTAAAATATTTACCTTTCTTTTGTCATCAAGGCCATATCTTTTTATTAATTTATTCACTTTTCACTTTTTTTAAAATTTTAGTTAATTTTTATAATGCATAAATTTAATTTTTAACTGTTTATTCTTTATAGTAACTTACTCTATAAATTCAAAAGAGTCGTATTTGACATTTAATATATAAATATGTATATTCATAAATTCCTTTATAGCATACACCAGAGCCACCAAATATACAACCACTGAATATTTATTGTGTTATAATTTATCATTTATGCTTATAGTACTTAATGAGTGATGAATATTCAAAATTTCATAAAGTTTTCTTTTCACAAAATTTGATTTAAGACACCAAAAGTGCTTAGTTTTATAAAAAGCAATTGTTTGTACTACTATAATCCTTCTTTTAATTTTGAATCGTTTAGATATTGTATTAAACCTCTTATACAAGGATGCAATTATTAATATTATTGAGGAATTGCCTTGCTTCCACAACAATTTACTTTTAACTTTAGATGATTTATGTTTATTTTACTTCAATCCTGCAGCTATACCGCAGGGCGGGTATAAAAAATTTGTTTTTAATTTTTGCCTCTTATTAAGTTTCTTTATGTATTTATTATAAATATATAGTGATCTACATGCTAAATTTTAGATATGTATATTTACTTTAAAAAATAAATTATCCTTAATCGTAGTTTACACTGACAAGATTAGAACAGATAATCATGTAAATTGTAATCAAAATTTTCCATTGAGTAATCACAATATTTTCAAAAGAAATTTAATAAGAACATTTCTTAAAAAAATTTATAATCATGAAAATTTGAATGTGTGTCAGTTAAACCAGCTGATTATATAGTATACGTCCCAGTAATCCTGCATCGTAATCTGCTTGATTTAACTTCTTAAAAATTGTATTTACACATGAATATTTTAAAGTAGTTTGTAAATTTCTGTTAAATTACCCCACATACACTTGATTTCTCTTTCCAACTGAAAATAATGCTGCTTGGGATATTTTCTCTCGGAGTTTCGAAGATATTCGGTTTCATTCAAAATTCATTTAAAAACCATAAAATAGACATAATTATTTCAATCCTTTGTCATTGCATATATGAAGGTATTATATAATCTTCAAAACTATATAAGGTATTTTCTCCTTCCTTTCCACATGCTTTCGTGGTGTAAGTGGAACCGTACTCGAAACGTATTCAAGAGATCTACTCGCGGAGAGGGCACTGCACATTTTTCACGTCTCCTGGTTCAAAAAAACTAATGACTCTACAACTATGTATTCAAATGTGATAGTGTTGCATAATTTACACTACCAATGTACACTGTGAGTTTTTGTCCTCTTTCAGATATTAGTGGAATTTTATCCTCTCTTTTCAATTTCCAGTTCTAATGCATTTACATGTTTATTATGTTATACTGCTGGCCACCCAAATTGCAACACCAAGAAAGACAAGAGATATCACAACAAAATGTATTTAGTAGATAACATGTTGACCAAGTATCAAATGATTAAATTTATAGACTTCTGGGAAGTGTGGTTCCTTCCAGAATCAGTAGCCAGAGTAGCCGCCATTGTTTTAGATCACCGCTGCCACACGCCTCGGTATTGATTCAAAGAGACTTTGGATGTGTTCTTGGGCTACAGAAGACCAAGCAGCCTCCGCACATTGGCAAAGCTGATCTGGTGTGGCAGCTCGAGATGTAATCTGGTTCAGTCGTACAGCAACCATGGACCACATGTTTCCTATCGGCGAAAGATCCGGAGAGCGAGCCGGCCAGGGAAGCAATTCAATCTGCCAATTGACGAAGAACCCTTGTACAATGCGTGCCACGTGTGGTCGCGCATTATCCTGTTGAAATATGGCTGTGGGCAAGCCCTGCAGGTAAGGAAGGACAACTGGCTCCAACACCTCGGAGATGTAGCGCTCGCTGTTTAAAGTACCGGCAATGCGTATTAGAGGAGTACGAGAGTGATATCCAATACCGCTCCATACCATAATACCCGGTGCAGTACCAGTGTGGCGGTGCATAATGCAGCTGTTCAGCATCCTCTCTCCACGGTGTCTCCAGACTCGAATCCGACCATCGTGTTGTTGCAGAGAGAAGCGTGACTCATCAGTAAAGACAATTTCATTCCATTCTGCCGTCCACATCCTTCTTTCATCGCACCATTGGCGGAGGAGACGTCTGTGGTTCTGCGTCAAGGGTAGACGAAGCAATGGGTGTCTTGCGGACAGACCACTCTTCTGTAAACGGCGTCGAATGGTACGCGCAGACACTGGATGATGCATTGCAGACTGAATGTGCTGTACTATGGTTCGTGATGTGACTGAGCGATCCGTCACTGCCATGCGCACAATGTTCCTGTCATCACGTGAAGTGGTGCACTGAGGTGGATGCGATCGAACACGTTTTGGTCCGTCGTACTCTCCTGCCTGCAAAGGTCACATATCCGCATCATAGCTGTTTGGCTTCGTCCAACACGACTACCGATTTCCTTGAAAGATAATCCACACTATCGGTAGCCCACTATCCTTCCTCTGTCGAACTCGGATACTTGATCAAACGATGATCGCTGTTTACTTAATTGATTACTTAATTGATCTTTTTTTTTTTTTTAAATAGAAAATAGAAATAGAAAGAATAAAATTCCGAATAGAAATAATAAAATTCGCTTGAGTGCCATTATATCATTGCTCTACAGCTACTGGATACTTTGCTCATCTACCAATCCGGGGAAGATTTCCTACTCGAAAATCATATGTGACCGTGCGCCCAGATGAGCAGGCGTGAGATATGGGCCTATTAGGTGGTCGTCAACAATGCTCTTCCAAACATTGATGGAAAATCGGTATTCTGCACGTGATCGGGTACTCATGGGTTTGTTCACTGCCCATGCATGTGCTTCACATGCATAGTAGCAGCCCTTTCTGCTAAAGAAAGTCTCGTTGGTAAACAGTTAGCAGCTGGAAAATGAGATTGCTTCCCAAACTTCTACTCGTACCATTCGGCAAATGCAACTTATGACGCATTATCAGCATGAAGCAGTTTCTGTACGCGTTGTTTGTAGTATGGATACAAGTGGTTCGAGTACAGGATTCTCCAGATGATGGTTTTAGAAACGCTAAGATTTGTAACGATCGCTCATGTGCTGATATGTGGATTCCTTTCTGCTTAAGAAAACACCATTTCTTCTACTTCCAGGTGTCTGCATTATTTTTCTCCGTTTTTTGACTTGTCCCGAAAGATACCGTATTGTACAATCTTTGATGCAGCCGTGCAAACATCTGGAGATTCGGGTTCCGCAAACTGTAACGGTGCACCAATGGCTCACCTAATGCAGTCAGCTGCTCTGTGTGCTATATCTACTAATTCGGTATTACTGAAACCTACCATTCTACAGTTGATTGTCGAATGCCTAATTTTGTTCGCGGAGAATTTAACTGTTCTACAGCAGTGGCCTCTAGCGTGCTACGAATGCGTTTCTAGCCTTATACTGCTATGTATTTTTGAATCTTCTTTGAGTAACCTACCCCTCACTGAAATGCGTGCACTCTTAAGCGAGATACCCCATATACGTTCATTATATTCCATGATATTTATAAACCTTAAAATGTGCAAATTAGTAGTAGTAATTAGTGCAAATTCAGCAGTTGTTTAATTATTAATGGAATTGAAAAAATGCAGTAATAGTTCCTCAGTATGCTTCAAACAGCATTGCATGGGAGAAGAGAACAGATGATACATAGAAAAGATTTCTCTAACTTTTTCAAATATTTTCAAATTCAAAGTGTCATTCAGAAAAAAAAACAATTGGGTAGTATTAAAGGTATCAAAATACACTATTGTACATTAATGCAATCACAATTCTCTACAATTTCATGTAATAATATCTCTGAGAAAATATCGATACATCGTTTCCACATTTTTCAACATGCCTAACGTATATATAGTAACTAATGCACATAATTACTTAATTCTCAAAAATTCAATAGTGATTAAAAGTAGCATTTCCTTCTAAGTGCTGGATTACACAGATATTAAAAATTCTATTACCAGCTACAATTCAGCTTTCAAAACTCAGTCTATATTTATTCAGTTCAGCCTAGACTGAAAATCTACGTAAACTTAAAATTCGTGTACGTAAAATATTGTCTCAGATTTAAAATAATAAAAAGAAATGCTTTAAAAATAGTATTTTAATGCAAATACTTTAAATCTTTTTCTCAATTCTGTAATAATCATATTTAATTTTCTCAATATCTAGTGAGTCGAACATTAAATTCAGTAAAAATATTCCTATTGCTACCATCTCCAATTCCATGGTCATGTTTCAATGCCGTTAGCTAATTATGTTCTAAAATATACTAGCGCTTTCAAAGGTGGTCATCTTAGGAACACTCTGATAGGTTTTACTGTATCTTAATCATGTGTATCTCTTGAACCATTTAACCCTGACTGCATTTTCTACCCAAATTAAAAATTTTCTATAATATATATATATATATATAACTTTCTCAGTCATCAGCAATATTTCAATAATTGAAGTTTTTAAATAAAATAATTAAAAATTTTATTCATTCTATGTAAAAATTTAATAACGTCGAAATTTAGACTAAGTAGAAATTTAGACTTAGTTTCTTACTAGAATGAAATTTATTCCAGTTTGTCGCAATTAAATATTCTCAAATCCAATTTACAGACATATGTTTCAACAAAGCGAGTTATTAGATGCATTAAATATAATAAAATGTTATCTACAAAAACTGTTTTCAACTCACTCAATCAACATCTGAAGCTTAAAAGCCGTGATAGCTTGCACAGCCCCTCGAGGTCGTTTATTGCCCTGGTTAAGATTTATACTTTGCATTTAACGGCCATTTAAATATTCTCTTAAAGAACTGCAAGGAAAGAATGAACTTATCACTGACATATAAGCCTGTATTAAATTTTTTAAAGTTAAATTGCAATTAGGGAAAACACAGCTGGGATTAAAAAAAATTCGTATATTTCCTACAGCTTAAATCCTATACTATTATTTTAAATAAAAAATCTCAAGAATTATACAATAATATTATTGTTACAATTTTGGATAAAGATTTTAAAGATTTATTTGATTATTGATTTGAAGTCCAGTTCTAGATTGTTTTCATAACCATTCAAAGCAAACGGGAATAACAAGCCAGAAAATCTACAAATGTAGCTAGTTAGCTTATAATTTAATATAAATCTCATTCAAATTTTGAAGATGTAGATTTGATTAATTTTTATTCTTACTTGTCAAAAGGTATATACACACAATCGCGAGTTTTTGCAATGAGAACAATCGCTTTGTTTGGGAGTATACTTATATGCGAACAGATTTGTTTTTCTTTCGCAGGTCAAAATTGACAAGTTTAAGAAAAGAACCCGATTGACTGAGTATCTAACAATGAATGATACAGATAGTTTCTAGATTCTCCGGAGTGACAAGTTTTCTCAAAATAGAAATGCCATTAACTATCAAGCTGTAATGAGAAATAAGGAAGTTGCTGAGTTCAACAGGTTATATCGGGCAGGTTATCCGTCCCCGGAATTCGAACTCCGGACCTCCCAAATACGTGTCGAGAGTGTTTCCACTTATACAACAAAGGACATGCGGAAAGGAGGGAAAAAATATAAGGTTTGTAATTATTTACATATAAACATGTGTATTTTGTTCTGTAAGTGTGGGAAAAAGTTTAATAACTAAGAGAAGAATTGTCATTTTTTATTCTCATATTTTGTCCCTCTTGAAAAGTTTTCATAATTCGTTTATTTTTACTTTAGCTTAAAAGCAAATTATTTAGTGGTTAGTTTAATTTATTAGAGTTAACTGAACTAAAAGTCAGTCTAAAACTTAATATTTAACTGTCAATGTGCCTGAATTACAAAGTGTAACCAACAGTATTTTCCTGCAGGTACCAATCTCCAGACTTAATAAACAATAAATATAAACCTGAATTAAATTTATAAATTAAACAAAAATCTTTATGTTTTTATTACAGTTTACGTTTTGATAATCATTTAATAAATGAAATTTAAAATTTAATTATTCTTTTTAGTTTTGTTAAACTTATTTTTAAAATATTGTTAAAGCCTTGTTCTGGCCCGTCAGCTGTTTTCAGATCGCGTATCAGATCCGCATGCAGTTTGAGTTGCAAGGTATTTTATGTTAATCAACCACTTATTGTTATTTAAGTCTTTACAGAACTTCTTTCCACAGTCCTGACCAGAATGCAAATTAGGTTGGTGTGAATTTAAGCTGAGGGTTTTGAATGTTTAGATTAGAACTCTGAGAAGAGTTGTAAATGCACATGCATTACTTTTATTCATCAGTTGTAATGCTGATTAGAAACAACTGATCCATAACGACCACATTACTAAATAAGCATATCTTCGAAACTGGACTTAGCTGTGATGCTGCAAAATTTTCAAAAGTTCATAGTTACCAAATCATTCTAGAATATCATTTGCTATTCACATGCTTAGAGATTACAACTTCGTAATCTAGTTTTGGTTGGCAACGTTTAATTGTTTTCTATCGCGGCGTGACTTTTGTTTGTCTTCGCGCTTCATTAGATTTTGCACTCATGCAGTAAAGGAATCAATCGTCTCCTCATTTTCTTGACCGTTCTGCTGGAGTTTCACTTACTAGCTCATCAAAGTCATATGCCCTCAGTGGCTTAATTTTCTTATATATCTCATTAAAGCACCTTCTGTGGCCGCATAAATCACTTCATAATGAGTATCCGTATGTTTAGATTAGAGCTTCTGGCAGCCGTTTCTTACTGTTATTTAAACACTCTGGCCAGCTGTGCCTGCACTGTTCAATTTAAGACTAAATACAAACTTCTTCAAGTACTTGTGAATTCTTTAAGACGTAGCGATATCTCGCCTCAGTCTGGTAGGTTCTGCAAGATTTTAGCTTCCAGTTACAATAGTTTAAGAGTTGAGATTACTGAGTTTAAGAATACTGATATGAGGAGTTATTGTAATTTTCACACTTTTACATAATCCTCCGTATCAGAATGCTGAACTTGATCTTATAAAATTCTCTTCCTTTATCTAAGGATATTTTAATGGAAGTATATACATACCTCGGATCAATTTTAGGGAAATAGTGCCTATATTCTTTTTTGCCTAAACATCTTACATGGATTACATGGAAAAAGGATTATTTAAATTATGCAAAGCGCAAGAGGAATAACTGCTTATGAGATGGCAGAAATGAAATAAAAATCCTTAATTGCGCTAGTTTAAATCAGTGATGGCTAATTAATGACCGAAGTTAACAGATATCATTATTATTAATTAACAAAATTTTCGAATTTCTGTGCATTTTCATACGTCTTTCTATTTTAAAATTAGCTTTATAAAAAGATTACTGGAAATTAATGCTACAAAAATCGTGAAAAAAATCGATGTTTACTATTCTAGGTTGTATTCCTCAATATTTGCTAAATATAACTTAACGCGAGACCATGACCAGTTTTAAACTGGCTCTGGAAAACACAGAAGTTATCCATCACTAGTTTAATAATTTAACTGACGTCATAAATTTTATGTTAAAGGAAACGAATCTGCACTTAACATTTGAAATTATAGCAGATAGCCTTAGTATGCTTTTCCATTAATCCAGCAAGCAAACTTAAAATTCAGGCGTAATATTTTTTTTAGTTTAGTTTATAGTTTCGAATCAGCCCCAAAATTGTCTTCTTCATATTATGAAGCCTTTAAGAAGTTTGTTAAATGCGCTGTTTCATTGATCTGCTATTCTTCTACTATCTTTTGCTGGTAAAGTTTTTCTAGAGTGACTACAGTGATACGCGAATCAAATAATTGCCAGAATAATTAATTCCAATTAGTATTAAAATATTATAGCTTAATTTTCGTTTCTATCTGTAAATAACTGATGCGAATTCTATTTTCAAACAATTCAATGGAACAAGCAAATGCTACTACTGTTTATTAATGTCTCAGTCGACGATAATAAAACATTCAGTAGATGGCGTCAATCTTTTCAACACAGTCCAGCACTGTAGAAAATCTTGATGACTTTCGTCCAAGTTTTGATCAATCAGCAGAATGATATTAGTATGTCCTTTTATAGAAATTTTTAGTTGCAGTTTGCAGCAATTACAAAGCTGGCTTAAAAGACATGCAGAGTGAAATTTAAAAAATCTTTCCGAAAGTTTAAATGCTTCTGTGACGTAGACAAAACAGGTCAAATTTCTCTACTTATGCTGAGAAAAATGGTCTCACCTTTGTACTTACTCTGAGAGGGTAAAAACTGAAAATCTTTCTCATCCAACTTATTTTTCTAGAACTAAACCTGAAATGCATTCATTGGTTTTATTTACCTCTATAGCATCAAACATTCCTTTTTTGCCCTTTAAAATGGAATTAATGTATGGATTATAGTATAATAATGATACTTTCAATCAATTATTTTCTTTCGCAACGAACGTGATGTTCCTGATGAGAGAAAAGAAAACTTGGTTTTGCTAAAATACACGTTTAATTTTAATAAGATAAATAATTATAATAAATTTGCATTCAAAGGTAAAATTAACTTTATATATCTCGTAAATGCTTTATAAATTTGTAGAGACATTAGGATTTTTTGGAAGCAGGACCCTTGAAAAATGAGCAATGCCTTCGCCGAGAATCGAACCACTGACCTCTCGAATACGCACCGAGCATGCAGACCACTATACCACGAAGGCACGCTAAGAAGGCGGGAGAAATACCTTATTTACTCCCCCTTTTAAAGGGCGAATGGGTATTAGGGGACCCAATCGCCAAATCCTGCTGGTGAAGAATCATCATTCACCATCTTTTACTTCGGGCGCCACTGTAGAAGCATTATGTAATTTTTTGAAAACAGGAGAGATAAAAAATGAACAATGCCCTCTTCGGGACTCGAACCACGGACCTCTTGAATTCGCGTCGAGCATGCTGGCCACTACACCACGAAGGCATACTTCGAAGGCGGAAGAAATACGTTATAAGCTGAATAATCTATGTAATCACTAAATTCTGACGAACTTTTTCATACATCAGCGCTTAAATCTGATGAGGCGTTTTGATACACTAGAGTAAAAGTTACATAGTTATTAAAGGATTGAATTTGTTCATGTAAAAAACAGGTGTTTTTAAAGAATAATAAAAACGTTTTACAGTGTAACTCTGCTTAACGTTTTACTTTAACGTATAATATTTCTGCTAAATAGCTCAGTCGAATTGCCGTAATCTTTACTAAATTCCTTACTCAAGTCAATAACTCAAAAAATAATGAATATTTGCTTAATCTCTATAGTTTAAGAAATGTTACGAACTAAAATTACAAACAATTCAATACTAAAACTACAAACTGAAGTATTCGGAGAAAAAATATTCGAAATAGATTAAAAATCTTCTGTTTACATTAAAAGAAGTCCCTCCAAGCTAGTAGACTAAATTAACAAATGCTAAACAGCAAACAACCAACACTCACTACACTGCCTTCAGCTTGGCTTTGAAGCTTCAGCTCAAAAGCTGACTTCCTTTTGCAGGAACAAGGATATATTGGCATTTAGTCTACAAAACAGTAATAAACATACAGTAGTTATTATTTAAAAATGCAAACTAACTAAATAACTCTTTTTTAGTTATTTCTCAAATAGTTGACCTAATTTGTATTGTTACGAAGACGAGTAGGGGGAAAAAAACAGAACTAACGGAAAAATGACTGATTAATTTAAATAAACAAGATCTTAAAGAGGAAAGTACACACAAAAATACGAGAAAAAACGAGGAAGTTATTTTTAAAGAAAATAAAAGATGTGATATTAAATTTTAGACCGATCGAAACGGAGCTGACATTTATTTTTCAAATCAGTAAAATTTATTAAATACTTGACACTTTTTTTATCGTTTTCATTAAATGTTTTTGCGGCATTCGGTATTTGTATTCCCATCTGATCTTGCCATTTTGAAACTCAGCTTCAGCCTGTTTTATGTATTATCAAGTAAGTACATCGTAAAAGAATTGTTAAGTATAAAAATAATTATTACTTAGTTTTTTTTATATGTAAAAAAATTAATTAACTATGTGGTATGGGGATATTAAGTCTGAAATGTTTACTTTGTGTTTTGAATCTCTGTACGTAATCCACTAAATTTCTCTTTGTTTATTAATTTCTTTATTTATAACGATAATGCTCACTTCACTGAAGTAGAAAGCTTTATATGTAAATTTAGAGAAATAACTCTTTTTTAACCTTTTAAATATTTCTGAGTATGCTTTAAATTTTGTAATTCTAAAATTGACAAAAAAAAATTATTTTAGCAAAATGCCGTACACTATCAGATTAAAGAAAGAATAATAGTAGAAATTTTTTCGCAAGATTTCTCTACAGTCATATTTGAATATGCACCTGAATTAGAGCTTTATAAGTATACGGTGTTCTCAAATAGTATGTTCTCAAAATAGTTCTCAAAGTGTTCTCAAAATAGTATGGGGTAAGAACTGCATGTTTATTCCCAGTGTAGATTTCTTAACTATATGGCATCGGATTTGTTTAGCTTCAAACTCGGAGCACCGCCCACGCATTCTTGGATTCTCATCATTTATGACAGAGTTATCATGGTCTGACACAC